GGGCTCCCCGGGCTCCTCCCCTAGATCCGCCACTGATAAGCTATATGAGTAGGTGCTGCTTTGAAAGGTATGGTTTAAAGGCAGTTTAGTCTCTCACAGGATTTAGAAAGTAGACAGCTTTGGTATAGAATAATTTAGTAATTAGTCTTAAGTAATTGGTCTAAAACGGGATTCTTTAATTACCCGGGGTTCTATAATAGAAATTGAAACTCGGAAGTGACTCCGTAATATATTGGTATAGTTAACGTGTGTTGGGCTACGATAGTGAAACTAGCTAGTCTGGGATAGGGTAGGGTTTTAGTGTCTAGTGTAAGATAGGGTAGCAACATTAAGCTGTTCATGGTCAAGTATAGGGTAAAGACTTCAGTGACCCAGCGGTACACCCCTACACATAGATTTAATTGAGATATAATAGTAATTAATGACAAATGTTTTATTCTATGCTATACCCACTTCCAGACGTAATTGTTCAAAAGCCGCTCTCTGTCAGACCAAAATTTTTAATTGAATGTTTGAAAACGGTAATAACGTGCGAGGATTCCATGTTGTTGTGTTGGATCTATTGAAGTACGGTTTTGGTTTTACTCACGTCGGTCTGCAAGCTGACGTTTAAGGCCATCAATCTGTCTCCACTGCAATCAATTGTAACTCTTAATATCAGAATTACTATTGAGCCTGAATTAGGAAAGAAAGAAATTATAATTATACAACTCCTGAAGCACAATACATTTGAGCATAGTTTAAAATAGAGGGAAATGGTTATGAAACATGGCAAATTTCTTTGTTGTATGCTTTTGTTGGCTATTGTGGGGTTGACCTTGCACAAAACCTGACAAAATACAAAAGATGGTAATGTGTGCTCATACAACCAACCGAAAGAAGCATTGCGATTACATAATTGATGCATAGTCTAGGAGCATAAAACCAAAGATGTGCAGGGTCAAGGACCTTCCAACATAAATCTTAGCCTGTTTGTTTGTTTCTTTAATGTTGGCCGGGATTTTTGACGACGTCCACTATTAGCTATGATTCGAACGGATAAAACTGTCTTCAGGATGTGCTTGACATTGTAACGAAGACTTATAAGAAACTGGAACCGAAAATCAAACACGTGACATAGGAAACATCTGTATTACTGTTAGTCGCGGACATATCAACAGGTCGTTATTAATTTGGAGCAGGAAGTTATTTCACATCTTTGCTGATAAAGGCTGTATTTTTACCCCGCATTTGAAAGTCTCTTTCTTAGCTGGTGGGTAATAGCAGTCGAGTTTTAGGGTTGTTTCCGAAGCAATATTTGTTTTTCAAATCCTTGGCAGGCAGGTGTCCTGTGCTTTTTGATAGTTTAATAAGCGACGCTTTAGTATTCAATGAAAACACAAGGTCGATTTGCAAGACAGATTGAACCTAATAAGAAAACCTGTCCCTGTAAAGGATGTAATTGGACTTGGTGAGAAAAACGCTGATAAGGCGGTTTGAGAACGACGTTACTACTTCACATATTTTGAAAAGCTTAAAAGAAACCACAAACGCCCAGTGCCTTGATAAGATTGCAGAGGCTTTGTGTTTGATTTTTCGGTTTTACGTTCTTTTATCAATAATATCGATACTTTTGAAGCATGAGTGATACCCTATTAAAAGTTAAGGATACCAAAAACATGAAAAACCGCCTTTAACAAGAAGTGCTGTTTTCTTTAAGCGATAATCCAACCGAGAAATAACACCGCGGAGCTGGGCTTAAGTTCTGTATCACACGACTTCTTTGCAGAGAAAAATTGAGCCACGGCCCATCCAAGGATGCGAATAAAACAAGTGGAAATGAATATGCCAGTTTCTCTCTTTAGATCGATTTTTTAAGTTCAATCAAGAAAACATAGATAAAGACATTAAAGGCAAGTCAGCTCTTCACTACTACTGGTCTAGGTCGAGGCCAAGCTTGTTGTTGATCACAAGTAAGGAAACAACGTTGTGTCAACATGCCAGTAGAAGTAAATAGATACTGAAAAGTTAAAGTTTAAAAATGTTTTCCTTAATTTCTAGGTTCAAAAATGGGTCCAACCAAACAAGTCACAAAATCAGTCAGTCCACAGGGGACACACAATCTTGTTGAATAGGAGGAGAATAAATAAAGGAATGACAAGAGCGAATAGTTTACCTTTGTCTCCTGTTGTTATTTCTTACGCCACCTTACAGGAAAAACCGCTACCTACAAGTCCTGCTTAGCACTGTAGTGCTGAACTCGTACTTAGGCCTTTTTTCGCTCTGCAAAAGTGTTTTTTGGTTTACATATAACATTTACAATGTTATATGTTCCCTGTAAGGTGGCGTAAGAAATAACAACAGGAGACAAAGGTAAACTATTCGTTCTTCTCATTCCTTTATTTATTCTCTTCCTATTCAACAAGATTGTGTGCTCCCTGTCGTCAGTCCACATAATGATTTCAAACTTGTAATTTCCTTGCTTTCTGAAAACATTACCATGAGATAGTTGATTAACAAATGAAGAAGCGAATAGAAATAATATTAAGAACCTGAAACGTGAATGCGGTTAAACCTGCGTCGCTGTCCCTTACTTTGTATTTAAATTTAGTTTACTCCAGTGAACATTCCTCATTCTCAAAGCAGAGGGCAATTCCAAAGAAAATCGTCAGAGTGAGATACCCCTAAACGAGCCATTGTGCACAGTAGTTTATCTCCTCTCTAAAATCCCTCATCATCTTACAGGGGAAGATTATTCGAAGAGCCTTAATTCCTGTCCCCCAAAACCTGCACTTCCTTGAATGAAACAATCGCGAAGGAGGATTAAATGTCGTCCATAATCCTCTACTTCTCTAGGAAGGATATTTGGAGAGGAAGTTTAAATCTCATCCATAATCTTCCGCTCGCCTTTAAAGTGCAAAAGGGGTTGTAATATAAGTTAAACTTCCTCCCAAAGTACTTTTCTCCGAGAGGGTAGGGGTTAAGAAGCCTCGGTAAGTCTAGACCACACTGTGGGCATAAATATGAAGTCTAGTCTTCAAGCCAGGTCTTTAACCTTAACCATCTTTAAGAAAATATCACTTTGGGAGGGTTTTACTTATAGCATTAACTCTTCTGAATTTTAAAAAAAGACGGTGAGAGATTATGGTTGACTTACGCTACCCCCAAATCTCCCCCTAGGAAGGTAGAGGATTATGGGAGAAATTTATTCCTGACGCGTGATTGCTTCATTTAGGGGAGAGGAGGTTTCAAGAACAGGAATTAATGCTCTCCGAACAATTTTTCCCCATTAGACGATGGGGAATTTTAGGCGGAAGATAAACCACTGTGCACAAGGGATCGTGTAGGGCTATCTCACTCTGACGATTTTCTTGTGGCATTGCCCTCTGCTTTAAGAATGAGGAATGTTCATCGGATTAAACTAATTTTAAAAGCAAAGTAAGGGACAACAAAAGAGCTTCAACCGCATTCACCTCCGCTAAAAGAAAAGACCGAGCTCTATTTTGTTTGAACACAAGATTTAATTGACTAAAATATGCAATGAAACCGTATATCACAGTTAATAAGATAAAACAAAAACATTTGCACCTTATTCATTACGATTTTTGGAATCATTAACTCAGTTGAATTTATCAATAACTTAACCCTGGGATGGTGGGAGGGAGGGTAATCTTACTCCCTCCAACCTCCTCTCCGGAGGAGTGGAGGATGGCGGGAGGAACAGTAATCTTACTCCCTCCAACCGCCTCCGGGGAGGAGTGGAGGATGTTGGGAGACAGAGTAATCTTACTCCCTCCAACCTTCTCTCCGGAGGAGTGAAGGATGGTGGGAGGAACAGTGATCTTGCCCCTTCCAACCTCTTCTCCAGAGGAGAGGAGGATTGTGGGAGGAAGAGTAATCTTACTCCCTCCAACCTCCTCTCCGGAGGAGTGAAGGATGCTGGGAGGAACAATGATCTTACTCCTTCCAACCTCTTCTCCAGAGGAGAGGAGGATTGTGGGAGGAAGAGTAATCTTACTCCCTCCAACCTCCTCTCCGGAGGAGTGAAGGATGCTGGGAGGAACAATGATCTTACTCCTTCCAACCTCTTCTCCAGAGGAGAGGAGGATTGTGGGAGGAAGAGTAATCTTACTCCCTCCAACCTCCTCTCCGGAGGAGTGAAGGATGCTGGGAGGAACAATGATCTTACTCCTTCCAACCTCTTCTCCAGAGGAGAGGAGGATTGTGGGAGGAAGAGTAATCTTACTCCCTCCAACCTCCTCTCCGGAGGAGTGAAGGATGCTGGGAGGAACAATGATCTTACTCCTTCCAACCTCTTCTCCAGAGGAGAGGAGGATTGTGGGAGGAAGAGTAATCTTACTCCCTCCAACCTCCTCTCCGGAGGAGTGAAGGATGCTGGGAGGAACAATGATCTTACTCCTTCCAACCTCTTCTCCAGAGGAGAGGAGGATTGTGGGAGGAAGAGTAATCTTACTCCCTCCAACCTCCTCTCCGGAGGAGTGAAGGATGCTGGGAGGAACAATGATCTTACTCCTTCCAACCTCTTCTCCAGAGGAGAGGAGGATTGTGGGAGGAAGAGTAATCTTACTCCCTCCAACCTCCTCTCCGGAGGAGTGAAGGATGCTGGGAGGAACAATGATCTTACTCCTTCCAACCTCTTCTCCAGAGGAGAGGAGGATTGTGGGAGGAAGAGTAATCTTACTCCCTCCAACCTCCTCTCCGGAGGAGTGAAGGATGCTGGGAGGAACAATGATCTTACTCCTTCCAACCTCTTCTCCAGAGGAGAGGAGGATTGTGGGAGGAAGAGTAATCTTACTCCCTCCAACCTCCTCTCCGGAGGAGTGAAGGATGCTGGGAGGAACAATGATCTTACTCCTTCCAACCTCTTCTCCAGAGGAGAGGAGGATTGTGGGAGGAAGAGTAATCTTACTCCCTCCAACCTCCTCTCCGGAGGAGTGAAGGATGCTGGGAGGAACAATGATCTTACTCCTTCCAACCTCTTCTCCAGAGGAGAGGAGGATTGTGGGAGGAAGAGTAATCTTACTCCCTCCAACCTCCTCTCCGGAGGAGTGAAGGATGCTGGGAGGAACAATGATCTTACTCCTTCCAACCTCTTCTCCAGAGGAGAGGAGGATTGTGGGAGGAAGAGTAATCTTACTCCCTCCAACCTCCTCTCCGGAGGAGTGAAGGATGCTGGGAGGAACAATGATCTTACTCCTTCCAACCTCTTCTCCAGAGGAGAGGAGGATTGTGGGAGGAAGAGTAATCTTACTCCCTCCAACCTCCTCTCCGGAGGAGTGAAGGATGCTGGGAGGAACAATGATCTTACTCCTTCCAACCTCTTCTCCAGAGGAGAGGAGGATTGTGGGAGGAAGAGTAATCTTACTCCCTCCAACCTCCTCTCCGGAGGAGTGAAGGATGCTGGGAGGAACAATGATCTTACTCCTTCCAACCTCTTCTCCAGAGGAGAGGAGGATTGTGGGAGGAAGAGTAATCTTACTCCCTCCAACCTCCTCTCCGGAGGAGTGAAGGATGCTGGGAGGAACAATGATCTTACTCCTTCCAACCTCTTCTCCAGAGGAGAGGAGGATTGTGGGAGGAAGAGTAATCTTACTCCCTCCAACCTCCTCTCCGGAGGAGTGAAGGATGCTGGGAGGAACAATGATCTTACTCCTTCCAACCTCTTCTCCAGAGGA